TTGTAGCCAACCATTTTGCCAGGATTCGAGCTCTTGGGCAGGATTACTAGTACTCAGCTATCTTCCTATTCAGTCAATAGGGACATCAAATTATAATTAAGTTGTATCTTTCCTAAGCCACTTGCACCCCCTTGGTCATAATGATCCTGGCTACGTACATGGACCTGATCTCCCTTTTAAGAAACTAAACACAATGTTTAAAATTCGTATAATTATTAATGTATTAAGGCAAAGCACGCGATGGCTATCTACCTAAGGGAGGGACACTTTCATGAAGGATTTTCTGCAGCGGAAAACGATTCGTACTTAACTTACATTTGTGAAAAACAACGTGAACTCCATTTAGCTACGCCTTTCGCCGGTATTTGAACTCTCGTCAAGCTATCAGTATTCAAGGGTCTTATCCACTAGGCCACTGGCGGGCGCTTTGCTGCAAAAGGAATCTATTCTGTCTTAAAGTATACAGCGAAAGCTTTGAATCATATGCAGCTGGATACATTAATTACCAAGTTCACAGTTTTGTTTTTCAGATGAAACTGTAAATATAATTTACTCCTCTAAAAGCCAGATGTTTTCTGAAGATCACATTAGAAAACATATTCAGTCGGTATTTCTGTTCTTTCAGGTGTATTATAGATTCTAAAATGGTGCACATGGAAACAACGATGTTCAGTCCTACGATATTACTCTCACACTCTGTGCTGAGGACTTTGCAATCATTCTCTTAGTACAAAAATCTTTCTGTTCCAATTTAACACCATTACAGTGCTACTTCCATTTATCAGATACCTGGATCTCCTTTGGCGAAATAGAGACGAATTTTGAGAAGTCAGTTGCTGTACTCTTCTTTAAGAAGTTCATCTAGACGTCCTTTGAATTAAAATAAAATTGAAATGCGAATGCCCTATTGGCGGAAAATTACCACTGCCCATGCGTCATTTTAATCTCAGATCTTAAATATACCTTATGGATCCATAAGGATTAAATATACCTTATGGATATTATCCAGAGGATTCAAGTTTCTAAAAGATAAAGTTGTCCCTTAAACTCTATTCTCTGCAAAGATCACTTTAACGCGCAGGAAGAGCTCTGGTTTGTAGTAAACTGGCGAGACAAGCCTAATGGCTAGAACGCACAATGCCGCTAACACAAGTCGCTAATAATCACAGCACAGAGTGGCCTGGAATAGGCAGACACGTTTTGAAAGTAAGTTCCAATCTTGCTCAAGCACTTCATTCTATCTTAATCTGAACAAACTCTTGCCATCTCATTTAGATTCTGGCCTGAAAAGCGTGGGTGCAAAGAGTGTAATAGGAAAGGCTTTTCGACTAAAAATGAACTATTAGTTAAAAATTAATATATAAACCTCGTCAGCCTTTGGAAACAATGTCGCATCATTATTCAGATTTTTATGCCTACACCAGTAACAGGGCAAGTCAAAACGTATGATTTATTCGTCCAGTTTTACAGACAAGCTTTAATGTCGTCATATGCTCAGAAAGAGCCATTAAAAGCTTCTAACCGTCTTAAGATAGTCCGTTTAAACAAACGGAACGTACGTCGAAGGCTAGGTTTAAATTGGGTAATTTAAATATGGCAATGTACACGAGGGCTATTATACTAAGAGGACCGATGCCATCAGGGAGGATTTGCTAAGGTAAACTGACTCATTTTTCACGTCGCACACATGGAAAAAGTCACGATAACCAAACATGCAGCCAGCAGTTAGGCCTGAGCTTGAACTCATGAAGAGTTACCAGCATTCAGTAACCTGTAATCACTCGGCACTGGTGCATTTACGGGGAAAAAATTCACTCCAAGGCATATCAGGATGAATGAAGGAGACTTGCATATTTGTTGTCATTTTGCATCGGCTTAAATGAAATTCATGAAATCGGATGAAAATCCACTGACAAATTTTTCAATGGGCAGTTAGTCATCTTTAGTGTTACAACTGCCATCATCCCTTGTTATAATTTAGCATGTTCTTCATTTTCAGCAGATAATACAAATCTTAGTGGCAGATAAGGGTATTCAACCTGCAGTATCTCTGATTCTTCATATGTATAGAATGTGAAGAAGAATTGTGTGAAATTTCCCGTTACAAATGCCATGCAGAAATAGCGACATTTGAATGTTTCTTTCTCGCTGCGCATGAATGTACTATGCATCTACAGGGTTGTAATAAAATACTTCCCTGATATATGAGTTCGTAGCGATCTATCTGCTGAACCAATCGAAACGAAATTTCAGATATTGTTATTTGAAGGTATGTGCCGGAAATTGTCATGATTTAAAGCAATACAACTCTGATGGTTACGGTTACAGTGAAACAATTTCGAAATTTTCGAAATGGCGACACCCACTTTTCCTTGCACCCTGAAAAACAGTAAATGGCTTTGGAAAGGTACACGTAAGTTGAAACTTCCAGGCGCAAAACATTTTTGAAGAAGAGCATTTTAAAGGATCAGTACCAACCCAAAGAGGAAGTGCATTGACGCACTCTGCTTAATTCACAAGACTAGACAGTAGAGGCATCAATCACAGAACACCATTTGCAAAGCATTGCTCGTGGAAATTCTTTAATAAGCAATATGGGAAGATTGTTTTTTCAATCCAGTGTGCGAACTAGTTAACGAGATGACACTTACAGGGAAACAACTAGGTACATTGGTAAAGCTGCTTTAACTGAAGGGGGGGAAATGCTGCCGAAACAGTGGGTGTTTATCGACGAAATCATAATACGAGACCCATGTTCCGTAAAAAATTGTACGTGATTTGGTAAAAAAATGTTAAGAAACTGGATATACAGGCAATGCGCCGCGGTTCGGATGACCATGTGTTCCTGCTGAAGTTGTTGCCAAAGTGCATAATACGATTATTGCAGGTCCATTGCATACCAAAAAAAGTATTGCCAGCAGTTTGGACCTATCGAAAACACACTCATCGAACTTCTGCGCTCTGTTTTGAGGATGTTTCCTTATCGGTTCCAGTGCGTCCAGACGTTGCAACCTGGAGACGAGCAACAGCGTGTCGAAGTTGCGAATTTTTTACTCATTAGATATGATAATGATAACAGGTATCGCTGCGGATATTATTGACAGTGAGCAAAAAAAAAAAAAAAAATCTTTTTTCCCTCGCTTCTCTTGAGTTGTCATTCTTCCTTTACAATGCCCTTCTTTACAAATAGCAATTTTCATTATATGTGTATCGTTCCAGCGCCATTTATGGCTTTTCAGTTCGCTGATCAATTGCCGCAGGGAAATTGGGGTAGTTGCCATTCGAAAATTTTGAAATATCTTCACTGTAATCGTAACCGTGAGAGAAGTATTGTTTTAAATCATCACAGCGCATACTTTCAAATAACAATATCTGAAATTTCATTTGGATTGGCTCAGCAGATAGATCGCTACGAGTTCATATATCAGGGAAGTATTTTATGACAACCCTGTAGATGCACAGTACATTCGTGGGCAGAGAGAGAGAAAGAAAAATTCCAATGTCGCTATTTCTATATAGCAGTTGTAACGGGAATTTTCATACAATTGAGACTGATATATCGGGGAAGATTTTATACCCACCGCTTCTAATTTCCATATTCCTTAGCTAACTACTTTTTACCTAACGTCTTCTATAGCTTATTTCCCGGACTACTTACCAGTAACGATTACTCACTATTCTAGATATTAAGTATTACAGAATATAAGTCCAGGAACTTATACTAACAGTGATCTATGATCGAATGAAAGATATGCCTTTGTGTGAGACTATTTTGTGCTTCTTCAGAAATGAACTCCATGATTTCGTTTTCATTGCTGACAGTTGTTTTCTTATGTATCTAAATGTCCCAGCGAGTAACTAGTAGTTCGCAATCGACTGTTTGGATATCACTGGTGTAGACTTTATTCTTTGAAGCTTACTTATTAAGATATATTTCTTTATTTACTGAGTGATATCAGTAATATTTCAGAAATTAGGTAGTTATAGCAATTAGGTAGTTTATGAGTAATATTCGTAACTATTTCTTGGAAGTTTTCGTTTAAGAATATAAGAGGAAACTATTTTGTTATGCAAATGTAGTAGTGGTTTCGTATTTTTAGTCCAAAGGGGTTTTGTTCCTGAAGGACTATTGTTTTCGTTTTGCGATTTTGCGTTGAATCACTATAAACGCCCGTTTCTTTTCAAACTGTTGCCATCAAGTGTTAAAGTCTTGCATTATATTTGAAGAAATTAAATAATGAACAATCTGCATACATGTATGTCTATTTCTCGCATTGTGATAAAACAACGGTACATAGAGCCATTGAATTAATGACGTAATCCCCCTACGAATATGGGCATGTGGAAGACCAAATTTGGAATTTATTTTATTATCGATTTCATATTTTGTAAAACTTTAACGAATTTTTGAGTAACAAACTCAACGATTTAAAAGAGCGCAATGGCAACACTCTACGGCGGGGGGGGGGGACCTTTTTATCTCCAGCGGGCGCGGAACTGTGTATCGGAAATTCTAAAGATATGTTCATTTTAAAATTATTTTGCGACATTGCTACTGTTTAAGTGTAAAGAGCATGATATTTAATAAATAAAGGTAACACAAAAAACGTTAAAAAACGCCCCTTTGTACGTAATTTAAAATCTGAGACCTTTCAGATTTTTTAAATTTTTATTTCTTATTTTATTTATTTATTTGTTTATTTTTGTGTAAAGCGTATTTAAGTCACTTAATTTGTTGTGAATAAACGAAAAAGATCAATCTGAAAATACGACACCTCCACAACCGGATCTAACAAACCGCTTTCGAATATTACCAAAATTCAGTTTGAATTCCGAGACTATTTCCTGAAGCTAATATGACCAAAACTGCTTGTTTAAATTAATGGGAAAAAAAGTTAATTTTACTAGCATAAGTTAAGTGTTATTTTGTGCTAATGTACATAAAGAAGGCTGTGCGGAATTTCTTAGGCAAGTTTGGCATCATTTTGCGGCATTGCATCATATCTTCATCGTTATTGCGAAACTTTCCTGTCGAAAGTGTGAAAGATGACTGTAAACAAAATTATTGGAAATCCACTTTCTCTGTATAGGTATTTACTACGACAGTGTAAAAAGTTACCTAGTAATGCAGAAGAACATTACAAGCATCATGTAAGACAAGTATGTCTTTAATTTGGCATGTCAGTAGCAAATTACTGTCAACATTTGAAGAGAATAGACTAACTGAAAGTTCGACTTCGCAAATAATTATGAAAATTACAATATTTGTTTAGAATTGCGATCACTGAACGCGTTTGTGCTTTCGACATTTCCGAAGCTCAGAAACTTTAAATAATCTATTTATGTTAGCAGAAAGCTTGGCATTGTATACTCATTAGCTTCCAGTAATACTTAATCAGCTTCACAAAATTTTCATTCCTTTACTAAATTCTGACCCGAAAAAGTTAAGCAGAACTTTTTTCTGTGAAAAATAAGTTTTCAGTACAGAATGTTTATTAAACAGAAGTTACGAAAGAAAATGCATATGTAATTAGTTTTCATAAGTTCAGATTTATTTCTATATATTCCATCTCCTCAATAAAGGGACAAACATTTCTAAAATATTCCACTAATATTCTAAGCTGGAATTTTAGCTTTCTTTGCGAGGCAAAAATGGATGCAAAGACGTGGGTACCATAAAGTGGTAGACCAGTACAGTACTAACACAGGATGATAGAATTAAGAAAAAGGAGCATATTTTTTTTTTTTTTTGTATGCTAAGCTGCAAATTCCCATGTAATCCACATGTGAATACACAGTTAGTGTATTCACATATTTTATGCATTGAATTTATATTGTTAAAATACTAATGCAACCAATTCCTTAATGCTGTGGAATTGTATCCAGGATGAGTTTAACAGTGCTTAGTTCATTTAATAATGTATTAACATGTGGACATTGCAGAAAATGGAGAAAAATTATTTGTATATGTTTCCATAAATAATAATTAGCTGGTATTAAAATGACCTGTTAAGAAATGGGAATATGCTGTGTCAAGTGGCTAAGCTGCAAAATACTAGTAACTAACCTGTGTTCTGTGCCTGACCAGTGCAGGGTTTGGCTGTGTGAAATTTTTATAGTGTTCCTGGGGAATTTAATTGCAGAGGCATCCCTTTGTATAGGCAGGTAGCCCTAGTTTTTTTATAATCAACTAATTTATTCCAGTTATCTAAAATGAGAGAGATGTGTGTGAAATAGATGTAAATTGCCCCATATACAAGATTTTGATTTAAATAGTCTACATGTCTGGTTTAATTTCATTTCTAACATCTGCTGAAGTCAATTAGACTGCAGTATCAGCTCTTAGTTAAGCACTTCATCAGTGTTTGCTTAGTAACATAACATACCGCAGTCTTGCATCTCCATTAACTGGACCGACTACAGTTGTAGGCAACATATGCAGCTGCTGAGGGCATTAATTTTCAGAAAGTGCCAGTTAAACTGTTTTGAGCAACAATTAAATGAAATTATAATTTTCTTTGAATTACTGATATGTTCAGTTTATGCCAGGTACCAATTATACATGTTCCCTAGGGTTCCAAAAAGTGGCCTTGTTCATTAATGTCATGAATCTTAATAATGAGTCAATCTAGATTAAAATGAGATCAATAGAAAAAAGTGAAGCTATTTTAAAAAGTATGAATCATTGTCTTAACTTGGAAATGTTAACTGTTGTTTTACTGTTTTCAAACTAGTAAATGAGATTATATTGAAAATTTCAGTCTCTTATTGCAGCTGTTACAAAAATATTTTTCTGTTAGAGTATCATTTATTAAGATGCTGAAAGCCTTTTTGATTTTATAAATTGTAAAACTGTAGTAGAATGAATTATAGGTTCATATCATGATAAAGGATTAATAGTAAGTTTGGTGACATTGTGTAGATGTGGAAATAATGAAACTTTGAAATATAAGGACATTTAATTTAATAGAAGAGTTCATACAGATTGGTAGATGTTTGAATTTCATCATGTAATACAGCTTATAATTATGTGACTGAATTATATTTAAATATGAATGTATACTGATTTCAAGAAAAATTACAATATTTTATTTAACATACATTATTTGATTTCTGGTTTAGTATAAAAGATTAAGCTAAATAAAAAAACATAAGTTTGTTTATGTGGAAGCCTTTTTTTTTTAGACAACCTGATAGGTATTTACAAATGAGAGAAACCACAGAAACTTCGAATATCTTGCCTATTTTATTGCTGGGTATAAATTCTAAAGCATCAGCATTTTGTGCTTGTTGGTCAGGCGAGGCAGGTTATTTTTCCTCGAAAATGTGCTATGCATGACTGTAGTTCTTACAAAAGATGAACGAAATAAGAGTAAAGACATTTTTGATTTGTTAAGTTTTAAGAAAACATAATCTCTAAATTAAGAAATGTTGGGTACTTTTCCGTTTCGCCGGCACAAACGATAAGGTCGCCAATAATGGTACAACTGATGCCAAATGGAATATTCTCACTGGTAACCTTTTACGCCTCATTTTCAAAACAAGTTGCAGCTTTTTCTTATCAGATTGATTGTTTCTTTCAATACTGCCATATAATTACATAGAATTTTTGTCAGATAGTTCAGTTTTATGTCTAAGGCCATTTTCAGTAATTAAGTCAATTAGGATGCAATCACAGCACTTACCCGAAGCCGAAAATATATAAAAGGTAAAGTGAAGGGTTAAATTCATCAATTCTAATGAGAATGCATTAGCGAAGTAAAGCACTGTACTTTTACATAATTTCTGAGTAAGCTATTCGTACAAATTGAAATATTTCTTGCATTTAAACTTGTGTTCCAAATTAAGATTTAACTTGAAATTAATGTAGATAATTACTGAGAGCATTAGATTTTTGTAGAGTAGTTTACGTGAGATGAGATTGCTTGGGGTCATGGGATATAAACCGGCAAATCAGGATGTTAAACCATGAAAGCATAGTAAATTCTTAAATTAATGTCTTTTTACAAATTTATTGTCTTTATTTATTGGCTTTTTATAAAATTTTAAGCGATATTAAAATGTTTATGCTTTCAAAAAAAGAATTCTTAGAACTAACATTTTAAAAATATTTTTTATGTGTATACTGTATGTTGTCACGAATAAAGTTTGCTTGACGAGATTTGTGCCAGCGAAACGGAAAAGTACCAAATGTTGTTGAAAGCATAACCCTATATTCCTATGTTTGGGATGTTATGTGTCTTTTTAGGTGCTTGTTGGGTACATATCTTTACTGGGTACGTACTTTTTTGGGTATGTATCTTTTTGGGTACATATCTTTACTGGGTATGTACTTTATTGGGTACGTATCTTTTTGGGTACATATCTTTACTGTGTACGTATCTTTTTTTGGGTACTTCTGGGGTATTGTATGATCACAACCACCTTAACAGAAGTTGTTAAACTCTAGCTTTGCTAGTAGAACTTCCGTATAACAGTTCTAGCAATCTGGATAAAAATATATTTATGGGTACTCCTTGGAAATGTTTGGTGTTACATGGACACAGAGTTTGTGCAATTCTTTGACTTGTTATTTTGGCTTTGTGTAGCGTCGATGTTTTTCGTCAAAAATCGCCGCTACATAAATCCAAAATTACAAGACAAAGAATTGCACAAACTCGGTATCCATGTACACATCGAGCTATTTTCACTTAAAAAAAAATCAGAGAATTGCACAAACTAGGCATTGCACACTCCTTTGACTTTGTCCGTGTACACATCAATCTATATTCGCTTAAAAAGTCAAAGGAGCAGCCAATACAAAATATATAATCTTAGTAAACTACATCTTCAAACAATGAAATAACATAAAAAAATAAATTCATCTTAACACTACACAAAGGAAATATCCACTTACCTTATTTACAAATTTCCTTGGCTTCAGTCAAACAAAATTCCTAAACAGCATGCAAAAAACTTCCTAAAATTATCTGAACTAGAATCTGTAGACTGGCATTGTCACATAAATTCACAAAAATAAGAGTAAAAAATATCCTCCGAAGTTCGACCATATGCATTTCCTTCCTACAAACAGGACACTTATAATGGCAACTAAGTAAACCTTCATGTACACACCAGTCAATTAATTCTTTTTCCCTTTTCGTTCGAAATTGCACAGAAACTTCAAATTAATCTTACAACATTCAGCCATTTCACCATGTAAACCACAAAATAACAATGTAGCAAAATCCGTCCCATCATTCAAATTCACTGCAGTCATGCAACCAATTACGTCATAATAGGGTTTCCATAGCATTCGACTACTCAGGTTACCGTAAATTAAACAACAAATTAGTGATAATACAAGGGGCACCCTTCAATCTACTCTAACCACAATCTGAAAACTCACTGAATCACCTTTTTCTTCTGTAAAAAATTATGTGCCAAGGTTGGTTGTGCTAATACATAGCTACCTATTTATGTATGTCTGTCAGTGCTTAAATTATGGAAGAACCTGGTTCCAGAACATCTTATTGTTTTAGATATGTTATAATTTTAGCTGGAGTGTACTGGAGCTCTAAATAAGAAAGAAACTTCTTTTATGTAACTGAAGTACAATTTCTGCTGAAAATTCTTTACGTGTTAAAAATTTTATTATAACCCTTTCACTCCAGGCATGTCATATATGCATCAACAACAAACATTATCTCATATCTGGGTTTGCCATATATGAAACACCACTGTTCTATGGCTAGGTATATCACATATGATGTTTTAGACAGAGTATTTAATTGGTATTTTTTTGTTGCTACTAAATGCAGCTGTATGTATGTTATTGTGAAATTTATCAAAAGTGAAGTATGTTGACCTTCATTCTGTTGCAATGCAATTTTATTTTTGGTAATGCTTGTTGAGCATTGTTATGGCTCTTAAGTGTGTGAATTGATGAAACAAATGCACGTATTCCCAATACTGTTTTTTTGGGGGGGGAGGTGATATAGTGGGGTAGACTTTCTTTTATTGTATAGGTTTTATTTATTCCACTTTGATTTCTTTTAGCACTAAGATGGATATATTATATCATTTAGCAAAACGTTTTACACCTAAATGGCAAATTGAATATGGTATTTAACAGAAAAAGAGTATATATGAATGATAAGGGCGTCTTCTGACACTGATAA